GTCATCAGCATAGCCAAAAGTCGAGAAACCTTTCCTCTGTAGCTCCTTTAGCAGGTCGTCTATCACTAGACACCACAACAGAGGAGATAAAACTCCCCCCTGTGGGCAGCCTCTCGTTGGTTTTCCTTGATGGAGATATCTTGACACTCCACCGTCAAGCATCTGTCCACTAGCATGTCTTCTATCCAGTCCACCAGTGGTTCTTGTACTCCATGTCTGATCAGTGCCTCCCCTACCACCTCGTGTGAAGTGCTATTGAAAGCGCCCTCGATGTCCAGGAAGATTCCAATCGCATAGCCCTTTGCCTCCAGCTGACTCTCAACTTTGCCTATCAGGTGATGTAGGGCGGTTTCGGTAGACCTGCCCTCCCTGTAAGCGTACTGAGAGTCGGCTAGAGGTTGTTGTATTAGAGAGTTGGACTTGAGAAATCTGTCCACCAGTCTCTCTAAGGTCTTCAATACGAAGGACATAAGGCTAATTGGTCTATAGTCCTTTGCCCTGACGGGACCGTTCTTGCCAGGTTTAGGTATAAAAACCACCTTGGTTTCTCTCCACTTCTGGGGGACATGTCTGAGGGCAATACTTGCCCTGTAGATTTTTGTCATTGGGCCTAACAAGCTGCTCAGCCCTTTCTGCAGCAGGATCGGGTATATTCCATCAGGTCCTGGAGCCTTTAAAGGCTCGAAGGAACCGACCGCCCATTCCACTGCTTGCGAATAGACCACTTTAGCTGCCAGTCCCCATGCCCTTGATTTGTGCACGGTCATGGGTCTCTGCCTGTTGTTGTTGTCTGCTGAGTCCTCCCTAAAGCCTGGGAAATGGATTTCCATGAGGTGCAGTAGGGTTTCCTCCGCAGTTTCTGTGTACCCTCCATTGGGAAGCTTAAGGCAGCCCCATTGTGTTTGGTTTTCCTTGCAGAGTATTCTACTCAGTCTAGATGCATCAGGAGCACTCTCTATACTTGAGCAAAAATTTCTCCATCCTTTCCTTTTAGCTTTTACTATGGCCTTGTTGTAAATTCTCTGAGATTTCCTGTACTCTTCCCAGGTTCTCGGTGTATTTACATTTCTAGCCCTATTAAAGAGTCTTCTCATCTCAGCCCTTAGCCTAGTCAACTCTTTGCTCCACCATGGTGCTTTGGCTGAAGGATTCTTTGACTCTAATGGGCAGTTCATCTCGTATGAGTATTTAATGGCATCATTCAAGTAGTCTGCCGCTGTTTCCAAATTTTCTTTTGTGTGGAATCTAGTGGGTGCTTCCTTGAGTCGACTCCTAAGGTCTTCCTCGTACCCCCTCCAATTTGTTTTCCTAGGATTTCTCTTCCATAACCCTTGGCTCTGTACTTGCTCCATGGTGAAATGGACCTGCCTGTGGTCTGATCCTGAGGGCTCATCAGAGACCCTCCATCCCCTCAACAGGTCCAATATTCCGCCAGAGCATATGGTTATATCTATCACTTCCTGTCTTCTAGAGTCCAGGAAGGTAGGTTCTGTTCCTCTATTCAGGATGTGTAGCTCCATACCTACCACAAAGTTGAATAGGCTCTCACCCCTGGGATTTATGTCGGTGCTCCCCCACACCAGGTGGTGCGAGTTGGCATCGCATCCCAGGAGTATTTCTAGCCCTTTCTGCCTTGCATAAGTCGTGAGTTTAATCACGTTTTCATGTGGGGGCAGGTTTTCCAAATCGTAGGGCATGTACACTGACCCTATAATTAGATCCCTGACTATTCCACCGGTCGTCTTTATTTTCAGTCTGATGGCAACAAAGTCACCATCGCTAAATTGTGGCAGTAGACAGGCGTCTATTCCTTTCGCTATAATGCACGCTCTCGGTCAGTCCGTGTTTCCGGCCCAGAATAGTTTTCCACAGCTGCCAAGTCCTTTTATATGTCCCTTGATGATCCATGGTTCCTGTATTAAAAATATGTATTTACTTGTGTGCATCACTGCTGCGCACCTGGCTAGTACAGCCGAGGCGCATTTGCTGTGATGCAAGTTAATCTGCGTAAAGTGAATCCGGTCCGCCATATTTATGCTGACGGGTCCGGTGATTTCTCCTTTGCGCCTTCCTTACTGCTTTCTCCAGCAGGCAACCTGATCGTTGCCTGCTCAAGTCCACAGTAGGGTTTAAAATTGAGAGCTCTTAACGCCCTCAAGGCCCCATCCCCAACAAGGGCAGCGAAGTGGGTGCTCGTGGCGTCCCTGCTTTCGCTACCCTTCGCGATCATCCAGTCCGGTGACTGGATGCCTACGTTCTGCCTGTCAAGTAGCTCCAACGCTTCCTTGACAGGTATTGTGGGATCCTCTACGTGCACTACGATTCGGTGTCTCTTAGAGAGCTCATCGACCCGCAGTGCACGCAGTTCGATCCCATTGATCTTAATTTCTGAGGTTAGGCTTCTAAGCCACTCCTCAGTTTCCCTATTTGTGCAGTTGAAGACAACTGCCCCATCCCTATCCGAGGTGCCTCTGAAAGTAGGCGCTTTGGTACCCCTTGCTAAGCAAAGGATACGCCTCCTGACCGTTTCTTTCAGAAGCGATGCCTCGTCTTTTTCCAGTCTTTTGTTAGGGTACGCCAAGGTAACCAGGGCAACCCTTACAAGACCGGAGGTCAATTGGGCAAAAGTCTTTTGGTCAGTTACGACTTTCGGCCTTTTGCCCAACTGAGTGTTACTGGCAGGGCTGGGTGTGCTATGCTCCGATATGAGTCGCTTTACCACCCCAGAAGAAGCTCGCTCCCCCGTCCTTGGAGTAACTGTCGAAACAGATGTCAGTTCCGAGGTGGGCTTTGCAGCTTCCTCCTTCGCCTCCATCTGCTTCTGTTTTTTATAGCGTCGCCTTGCCGCTCCGCTATAACGAACCCTAGCATTTGGTGGCTGGGCCTTATTTGGCTCCGCCCCCGAATTGCTCGGGCTTTTTCCTCCAGGTCTTTCGTCACCTAAGGTGGCCACGCCCTGTAGGACTTCCAAAAAGTTATCATTCTGGCTTGTACTCATATTTGTTCCCGCGAGTACCGCGGCCGCGCGGTTTCACCTGGGCAGAGCCGCGAATGCCCAGGGCTTGGCTCGATACTCTTGAAGGTCGCCCGGTATCCGAGAGGCACCGTTAGCGACGTAACTTCCCTTACGCCATGCAGCCCTCAGCACGGTTGCACACACTTTAGCTTGGGGAGGTTCCGCTTTGTCCGGCGCACACGGTTGCCATCTCCTGAGCGAGCGGCCCCCGCGCGCCCCCTCAAGCCCCTCCACCCGCCCCAGCAGCCGGACGAGCCAGGGGGCCCAGGCTAGTCGGTCACACCTCTGAACGGGTGATATCCTTCCGCCCCGGACCCTCCCCCCCCCACCCCATCAGCCGCGGGACTTCGTCAAGGTGGGAACTCATCGGGAGGAATATTTCACTAAATAAAAATGATTTTGCTTAAAAGGTTAATTATTATTATTAAAACTAGGGTGGGGAAACAATATTTTTTATTAAAATATATAAATTTTATTATTGAACAATATTTTTTATTAAAAATATAAATTTTTGTATTTATATTTACAGAGTATTTTTTTCTTATTACTAATATCTACATCTTCTAACTTTAGTTAAACTACTCCTTGTCCTTCCTATTATAAAAATAAAATTAAATCTACGGGTATTTTAAAATTAAAACTACGATTTATAAAATATAATATAAAGTATAATATTTTATAATATTTTATGAAATACATTTTACTTCTACAATATTTACACTTTTACATAATATTTGCATTTCTATGCAAGTGGCGGAAAACGCACGCATATCTCCACAAAGATAGAAGAGTGTGAAGAGGAGAGCGATGTCATTGTTCCGGTAAATAACCGTATAGAAGAGAATATCGATTTTTGATAAATCTTCGTTTTAATAACACAAGCTTGCATATTTTTGTTTCGTCACGCGTTATTATATCGTGAAATGCGGTTCGCCGAATGGCTTTAAAACGAAGATTTATTGATGTCCCAGGAATTGCCTTTTTAACTTGCTCTCCGCGCACTCCCTCTTCCCGTTTCTCTTCTTCTTCTTCTTCTTCTCTTTCTTTACGCAGCAATAATTCTCTAATACTATTAAAATTAACTAAACGCGAGTTTTCGAAATTCAGGGTTATACCCTTTACTTTGCAAACTTCGCGTGAGTCCTTTGGGTGTACGGACCACATATGCGTAAAATTTCGGACCACCGGATACAAACGACTCAATATAACTATCTTGTCCGTAGCTAGCGAGTTCATCCGTCATGTCGCCTAAAAAATTACCCGTATGCGGTTCGTATTCCTGCGGATCTCCGCGACTTACATAAATACAGGAATCCGTGTCGTAATATAAAACACGTTTGTCTAATTTTTTTAAATAATCATACAATTTTAATCGCGCTTGAGCCGTCGTGTAAGTCGCTATTATAACATTAGTAAGAGGCGAAGGTACAATCGCCTCTTCTCGTAGTCAAAACAAAACATATATCACCTTGTCGTTTACAGACAATATATCGGTTATTTCATGTTGAGGGCTAGTAAGCAAACTCATTAATCGTTCTTGTGTTTTGACAATCACGATATTCAATAAGTTTGCACGTTGACCAAATTTACCCCAAAAAGAATTCAAGCATAATTTAGCAACCGAGCGTAAACCGGAATTGAGTGCAATGTTATCTTTTTCAAGAACGATTCCTTCTACTTCCTCATACTCGCAGATGTAACGCTCTTTAGCAACGTTATCGACACAGTCGCTCGGCCATCCGCTAGCTTCTTGCTTTAATTGTAGAAATGTATTGATGTATTCCGTAAATAGACCCCCTTGTCGCGTACCGGGTTCGTAACGAGTGATGGTATATTGCCAAATCTCACTAACCCCTGTCACGAAATATCCTTTCTCGATTGCTTTTCGTAATTTGCACGATATCCATGTATCTTTGAATTCGCGTTCGTAAGCTTCGTGAGTACACGCAATCTGAGAAAATGTTTCGCAGCAACTACGACATAACGCAAATAATAATTTGCCCTGCACGCGATAGGGTAATACAAGATAAAAGAGATCGCGGGGAGGAAGTACTTTACATTGCACGACCCCCTCGACTAAATCAAAATTATAACCCGGTAATAATTCGATTAACTCCTCGCATTCCTCACCTACGTATATTGTCGGGTGACCAATCAAAAAATCACCAGTCTTCAAAACAAACGGATACAGAGAACATACATCCACGTAACGTATTTTTTCCGTACCCGTGATCTCGTATCGCGTTACGATATTTCCTGCGCGTCCGCCGTAAAATGAGTCTCGGGGATCGAGCGGTTTGGTGTCTATCATTTGATGTCGATGTAGATATTCGCGCATCTCGACATTTTCATTCATCTCGCAATCAAAGTCGCATTCCCATTTCTCAATCACCCTATATCCGCGCTTTCGAAGGCGAAATGTCGTTACAACGGTGTGCTCGTAACGTGAATCACACGTATCTGTACGATCCGTCGAAAGCAGTCTATCGCGATTTACCCGAAAACATCTTGGACAACCATGCCAAAAACAACCGTGAAACTGTAATGCGTAATATTGCGTTACGTTATTTTCTACCGACTCGTAGTATCCATCGACTAGCGTACCATCGCGTAATCGATATTCTCGAGCGCGACCGCCATGGATAATATGACGACCCAGCTCCCGCTCTTTCCATATCAACCATTGCAGGGCTTTACGCGAGTGAATATTCGCATGTCTGTATTCCCCCGTTGGAATGATACCGATCTCTCTTTCGCGTAAAAAGTTTTTTCTAAATACTCGCATACACGTTGAAGCAATGGCTGTGCATTCCTCAAATGGACACACGTTTCCACGCTCTAAAAATATTTTTCTAAAAGCCATACACGCTCGTCTAAGGATATCTACATCGTTACGACAATAAAGCAATATTTCACGTTGAAAATCAAACACAAAGTTCGCGCGCGTCATCTCGGAGTGCCACGCGAGAAATTTTTCGCGTTCTTTCATCTGCATAGAATCGGGTGAATAATATTGAACACCGGGTAACGCTCCGACATAAAACTGATTATCGATAGTATTGAATAAATGTGGAAGAATGCCTTTATTCGTACCTTCTGCTGGTCCAAAAGCTTTGGGTAATTCGAATAAATACATCGGCATGTAATTGATACTATCGATAAATTTCGTATGACCTAGCGTTAATACAACTATTTTCGTAGTGTTTAAAATGACTCGAGGCTCTAAGACATGGTTTTCCACGATATATTTCAAAATAAATTGCGCGTCGAATGACTTCACGTTATGCGCGATGCAAATTATTTGTTTAAAATATTTCGTCGGCCGCGTTACGAAATCTACAAATTCCTGCACGGGGTTACGACGAAATATAAATTCGCAAATACCGCACCAACGACATCGCACCGACATTTCATCTATTCCTGCACACTCCTCGCAAATTTGTTGAGCGACGCAGAGCGTAGGTACGTGAATTTTTACATTTGTGCTACCTTGGAGCGTTTTGTCTTGCCTCGTCTCAAAGTCATAAAACACGAATGCAACCCGGCTTTCTACGCGTTCGCGAGTCTGACTAATCGAACCTTCGGCGTCATTGTCGTCGTCGTTTCTCCGCTGATGCTGTTGTTGCTCGCTATTTCCATCCGCGTGTTCGGAAGTGCGCGGATCGGGACGAATATCGCCATGCCGACGAAAGAGAAGCACGTAACAAAGGTGATTCAAAGGCTGAAGAGAACGACACGTAGCGCAATAAGCCGTGTCGCATTCGTGTTGTTTATTTCTTTGAATCAAACGTCCGCAATCTTTGCAAAATCGCATAATTTCACAAACACTCCGACGTGATTTACCATCGTATGATTTTGCCGTGCGATGACGCTCCAAGCAGGCATGGTTGAAAAATTCACGTCTACAATTATCGCACCTAATACGATCCGCAAATGATTGCTCACACGGCGGCTCTCCGTTACATCGCGGACATTTATTAGAGCATCAATGCTCTCTCACATCGGAGCGGTAACTTAAATTACACGGGATGCAATATCTCCGCTCGCCTGCTGCTGCATTTAAATTTAAAATTACATCGAAATGTTTATTATTTGAACGGTATAATAGATTTAGACAAGTTTTTATTTCCCGCTGCAGAGTGGTTAGAAATACGTTTCCATTGAATAGCGGATTACCGCCTCGACCAAAAGTATCGTCGTTATATATTATTATCGCGACATTTTCGCTTGCGAGATATTGCTAAAAACGCTCGATTTCAACAATTCCACTCCCTTCCTCCGGAATCGTGACCGGCATTCCTCGTAAGTTGCAACGCTAACTCACGCTGTAACACCGAGTTTTGTCTTCTCACGGCATTCCATTTTGCGTGTAACTCTCCCGTGCGTAAATTTCCACGCTCGTTAAAAATTAAAGCCGATACAAGCGCGCGAGGAAGACATAAATTATCGGTATTGGAAATTGTTAAAATCGAGCGTTTAGCAATAACATCGAGCGTAAGCCCGTTACGTCCGCGACCAATGGGAGGGGTGACTTTAAAATCCGAATGTTAAATTCTTGCGCTATATTGTGTCCTCCGCAGCTTTGCGCTAACAAGCTTACGAATTCTCAAATATTTTTGTAAGTTAAATCTTGCAAAGGTCGGAACAATATACCTGCGGGGCCGCGGGTTAAACTTGCGGAATCGAAAGACATACCGACGTAATCCCTTGGTTCGCACGAATGCAACGCGTACTCGTGAAGTTCGCGAAACGCATTTTCTAATCACTCATACGCGTTTGCTCCTTCGGGTATCGGCCAAATACGGAAACTAATTTCCCGTCCTTCTACATCAAAAGTTCTAAACCGACGCACGTTTTCCGCTAACATTATTATACATATATCTAAAATTACCGTCCACCTCTTGATTCGCTATTTCTTCCACCGCTTCTTCTTCTTCTTCCTTTTGCCCACCAGCAGCCGCTAAATGTCGCTCTTCGACATCGTTGAAAGTTTCCTCACCGGAGCGGGTTTGAGAATCTTCTTGGTGTATTTCGACGTTCCTTCCCCCGCCACTCTGTACTGTGAGAAATAAAAATTATATTAACGAAATAAAATATTTAATAAAATATTACTCTCTTACGTTTAAATTTTTATTAATAATGTAAAATTGTTGTTATTAATAATTATGTTAAATAAACAAAAAATTTAAACGTAGGAGAAGATTAAGTATAAAATATGCAATTATTACCTTCCTCAGCCATCGCCCCACTATTTTCTTCTTCTTTTTCTTCTTCAGAAAACGTGGCGTTATTTTCATCTCCCACTTCTTCTTCTTCATCTCCTGTTTGTTCTTCTCGATCTTCCGGCTCTTCTTCTTCATCTTTTGTTTGCTCTATTTCTTCTTCTTCCAACTCTTCATCTTCCTCTTCCTCCACCTTCTCCTCCTCTACTTCCTCCTCCAGCTCCTCTTTATCTTCCGAAATCGTGTTTACCATATTTCCTCGTCGATTATCTCTTCCCTTTCTCGCTGCTCTACGACCACGTTTTTATTTGCCGCGTCATCTAATATTCATCAGTCATATATTATTAGTATTTCACATAATTAAAAAATCTTTTGTGTTGATATATACCACTGTAGTATTTTTCTTACTTACTTTCAAACGGAGTAAATATGGCCGCCTCATCGAACGGACTTATTTCGCGAACCCGCACTTCTTCCACGTCATTATCACTTTCGGCTAAATCAATAACCGGATGCTCTAGCTCCGGTGTTAACATGATGCGTGCATGGCCTGGAACGTATAACATTTTTATTAAAAAATTTCTTGTTTAAATATAAATTTAACGTATAAGACGGGCAACAAAAGCCAAATCGCGGATGACAATGCGTTATCCTAACGAAACTAAATAATTTTTCGTTAGAATTAAATACCTGTGCACAAGGCACCAAATTTTTAACTTGGACACGGCCAAGTTTTTTTAAAAATGAAATAATCTCATATTTTGAGATTTAATTTCAATACCCCCGTGGGGGGGTTAAAGGGGCAATGGAAAGATCTCATTATATTAACAAAATGGAAAACGTTTTAAAAGATGTCAACACTTACACTATTGTTAAAAAAAATCCGTGCAAAAAAATAGAGAACGATTTGAATGATTTGTTGAAGAGATGGCTTAAGGAAGATTATATTTAAAAAAACGAATATTATAAATTACGTGGTAGTGATTCTCTCCTTCCAAAAGCGTATGGATTACCTAAAATCCATAAGGAAATTTATCCAGTTAGAATCATAGTTTCATCGGTTGATACAGCTCTATACTCGCTGGCTTCGTTTTTACAAAACACCTTACGAACTAGCCTACCCAAAGCGAAAAGTCATATTAATAATAGTTTTGATTTGTACAGCATATTGTCTGGTAAAAAGATTGATGAGAATGATAGGATGTTTTCCTTGGATGTGGTGTCTTTGTTTACGAACGTTCCTCTGGATCTTGCGATTGACGGTATTAACGATAGATGGGATCACATTGGAATAAATACTAAAATACCGAAAAACGAATTTTTGGGGGGTATAAAATTCATATTGACTTCTACATATTTTACATTTGATGACATAATTTATAAACAGACGTTTGGGACCCCTATGGGGTCACCGTTATCACCAATTATTGCAGACCTGGTTATGCAAGATCTTGAGGATACGGTTCTCAAAGCGTTGAATTTGGAATGTTTGTTTTAAGAGTTTAACTAGGCTCTGTAATATATAAATATAAATTTAACATATATAAGATAGGCAATAAGAGCCAAATCGCGGATGACAGTGCGTTATTCTAAACGAAACTAAATTTTTTCGTTAGAATTAAATACCTGTGCACAAGGCACCAAATTTTTACTTGGACACGGCCAAGATATAAAATTGGAATAATCTCTACAAGAGATTTTTTAATTCCATGTATCCCCTATTCCCCCTAAAGAAATAAAGTGCGAGAGAAAAATATAGATCCGAAAGTCGCAGAATCGGGAATCGAACCCGAGACCTTTCGCTTGCCGGGCGACTGCTCTTCCAACTGAGCTATTCAGATCCTTTCGATTCTATACTTTTCTCTGTTATATATATTAATGTTGGTAAATAAACGCCTTTAAGCCAGCGTGTATAAATTAAGAGTTTAACTAGGCTCTGTAATATATAAATATAAATTTAACATATATAAGATAGGCAATAAGAGCCAAATCGCGGATGACAGTGCGTTATTCTAAACGAAACTAAATTTTTTCGTTAGAATTAAATACCTGTGCACAAGGCACCAAATTTTTACTTGGACACGGCCAAGATATAAAATTGGAATAATCTCTACAAGAGATTTTTTAATTCCATGTATCCCTTATTCCCCCTAAAGAAATAAAGTGCGAGAGAAAAATATAGATCCGAAAGTCGCAGAATCGGGAATCAAACCCGAGACCTTTCGCTTGCCGGGCGACTGCTCTTCCAACTGAGCTATTCAGATCCTTTCGATTCTATACTTTTCTCTGTTATATATATTAATGTTGGTAAATAAACGCCTTTAAGCCAGCGTGTATAAATTAAGAGTTTAACTAGGCTCTGTAATATATAAATATAAATTTAACATATATAAGATAGGCAATAAGAGCCAAATCGCGGATGACAGTGCGTTATTCTAAACGAAACTAAATTTTTTCGTTAGAATTAAATACCTGTGCACAAGGCACCAAATTTTTACTTGGACACGGCCAAGATATAAAATTGGAATAATCTCTACAAGAGATTTTTAATTCCATGTATCCCCTATTCCCCCTAAAGAAATAAAGTGCGAGAGAAAAATATAGATCCGAAAGTCGCAGAATCGGGAATCGAACCCGAGACCTTTCGCTTGCCGGGCGACTGCTCTTCCAACTGAGCTATTCAGATCCTTTCGATTCTATACTTTTCTCTGTTATATATATTAATGTTGGTAAATAAACGCATTTAAGCCAGCGTGTATAAATTAAGAGTTTAACTAGGCTCTGTAATATATAAATATAAATTTAACATATATAAGATAGGCAATAAGAGCCAAATCGCGGATGACAGTGCGTTATTCTAAACGAAACTAAATTTTTTCGTTAGAATTAAATACCTGTGCACAAGGCACCAAATTTTTACTTGGACACGGCCAAGATATAAAATTGGAATAATCTCTACAAGAGATTTTTTAATTCCATGTATCCCCTATTCCCCCTAAAGAAATAAAGTGCGAGAGAAAAATATAGATCCGAAAGTCGCAGAATCGGGAATCGAACCCGAGACCTTTCGCTTGCCGGGCGACTGCTCTTCCAACTGAGCTATTCAGATCCTTTCGATTCTATACTTTTCTCTGTT